CGTGCATGAGTGTGTGCGTGCGTGTGCACTTACACATGCGTACGTGCGTGCGTGCATCGCTATTACATGACATGACACACTAAACATGAAACATCGCTATTACGTATGAACAAGTACAGTATCATTGAACAACTCTGATTGGCTGATGAATTGTACAATCGCGGACACACTAGGCGAAGAAATCGGGCGATGAAATCGGGCGATAATATCAAAACGTTTTGATCTATGCGATGACATCGGGCGATGAAATCGGGCGATGAAATCGGGCGATGAAATCGGGCGATAATATCAAAACGTTTTGATCTATGCGATGACATCGGGCGATGAAATCGGGCAATGAAATCGGCGGCGATTGAGTGGACACACTAGGCGATTTCACGGCGATTACATCGCCCGATGTAATAGCCTGGTGTGTTCGGTCCTTAAGACATATTCACTTCGAATAAGAGGCATTAATTGCCTCCACAGACGTTTTATAGCCAGATATAATCGGGGATAAGTTGGTCCATCGCATGCCCTATGGGTCGTTCTATAGCCCAGCGGCAGTTAATGTAAGCGGGCTATAGTACTAGAGCTAGTATGATTAGTGATTTAATCATAATTAAAGTTTATCACGCTTCGCGAAACCGGCCCGAACATTTAATAACGTATTGACGGTATTCCATTTCAAATCCCGTGCCGTAATATTAATAAACACCCTGTATGACACAAATTACGAAGTGTTTATTACTGATTGGGCGCCGGATTGGAAATGGAATACGTTATTGAATGTATTTCTATGTATAAAAACGTTACAGAAGTTAGAAAATTTGACTTCAACTGTGCTAAATATAAGTACAAATTCAAAACATTAGGACATGGAGGCTGCCATATTGGCTCCTTTTCCATAGATGGGTACCTCATCTTTTTATTCCGTTTACTTTACATTGACAAAGAAAATGGGAAGCTACTCTATGCAACTCTGCTATTCACGTGACGATGAAATGACGCTGTTGTGTTGCGCCAGGGGCTCACGCCTAACCGATACACATGTCTAACGCATTTTTTACGTGCGGTGCGTATAAAACCAGTCTGACAGTCGCTTTCTACGTTATAGGTGGATGACGTGGAGAGTTATAACAACGCCGTCATGCGCGAGTTACGCCCGTTATGTGATATTTTGGCATGGACGTACAACCGGGTAACGCGATCGTGGACGGCAGCCGCCGTTATGCAAGCAGGCGACCATATACAACTGAATATTCGACGTCAGACTTAGAAACAAAATTATGTGAGCTGAAACTAAAGAAATAAGCTTTTCATAATAACCGTCGAATGCGACTACTCACAAAGTATGTCAAAAGAATAAGGTGCACCAATACAGGTTGATGTACGGGTAAATTAAAACGGCAGTCGGCGCCACAGGTACGTGTAGGCGTCAGAGTTTGATTATCTATAAGTGACTATATAAGGTTGTTCAGGCCGAATTAAGGCCAAAGACCGACTCAGCAGCAGACAGACGGAGAACCAGAAGGCCAAGAGCGCGCCGTAACTGACGCGACGAGCACGAAGCACGTATTTCATAGGGGACACAATTGAAGACGACAACTGTTGCTCTTGCCTATGCACCATGTAGGCACACTGACTGAGAGCGACGGACGCACGCGAGACAACAATCGACGACAACCAAATATGTTAGAAACGCTTTCGTATTTTCGCGAGGCGACTGTCGCGCCGGCGATGATAATACTCGTGGCCAAACGCTGTGGCAATCTGTGCAGGCAAACTTGGAACATTTCAGCCGATCCGCATGTTTCTGGGCCCGAACCAAATTCCTGTCGAAAGATTGAGGCAAAAAGCAGAGGTAGAAACCTAGAGCTTGCACAACATATGCATGATTAGGATTTCAAATGCTTATATCATCACTATAACTAGTAAGGTCGTGATACCTTCTTTCCTGTGTTTAGGCACCTTTGGATATAATCATTGAAGATGATTATAAGTAACATAATTGGATAAGTAATGACAGATAAGAATGTTGCAATACTTATGGTGCGAGGCATGGAGAGTGGTTTGTTGCATGAGCACGACGGAGCGGCGACACCACCAGCACACTCGCATATGAGCTGAGTTGGGTAGTTGGAGTCACCGACTGTTCTTCAGTTTGTGACACAATCTTGAGATGTGGCTCAGCCAGAACGGTAGGGAATGCCCCGCAGTTTGGGCAGCACAAGCGTGACACAATCTGAGGATTGTGCAGATTCCAAGTTTGGGTAAAGCGACAGCGCACACTGTATAGTAGCTACAAATGGCCAACCACTCACAGCGCGTTTCCATCGGAACGTGACCACCACTTGACGTCCACTGAAAGTTATATAAGCCATGGCTAGCGCAGCGAACGTAAGACGTGGTCCCGCAGCCGCCTAAACGTAGCACGATGTCCGCAAACAGTGGGGCTGCGGCGAACGCCATCTAACGCAAAACGTGGCAAGGCTAGACGGTCACATCAGACGTGATTATTGTTGTACGCGTTCGTATAATATGCTAGCGTGAATGATAGTTCACTGTGGCCTAGTTAATACGCCACACTCGTTATAATAGCAGCCGTTTTTACAGCAATTTATTTAAGAAGCAGCAGCAGGAGTTTTTTTTTCGATTTGCCTCATGTGTGGCAGCTGGCACTGTGGTGCAGTGCCTGGTGCAACTTTGTCGCTTGAGCCGGAGGTCGCATCGCCTGGTCGCTCGCGCAGCATGTGGCTGCGCCAGTTCAGCCCGCGACTGTTGTTCGTTTGTCGTTACGGTCGGTCGTGTCGCTGGCCAGTGTGTCTTGCCTTTAGTGTGTTCCGCGCAGTAACTAGAGAACTCCGCAGCCTAGCGAGGAAACTACAACAACTGTCAACAAGTCGTCACTTATAGGGTAGCGGGGTAAAGTTTGTATATATAGGTTGCCGCCACCAGTAGGCCTACCAGTATAGTAATCATATGCGAGGGATGAATAGAGTTCCATTTTTCACTATTGCTAATAAATTCTTAGCTATTAATCTGTAGCATATTATAACTTATATATTCACTCAGGACGATAGGACAAATAGCGGGATTAATTTTTCTCATTATGCACGCCGATGAGTATTCATGGTTAATAGGCCAAATAGCGAGACTTCCACAATCAACTTAGCCCAAAACACAACCGCACACGGGTTTTGACTGACAGGCCAAAATGAGTTGGGTAATGACCTTGCCAAATAGTATTAGGTTGGGAGATTTAACCGTGTCGCAGTAATTCTTAAATTCTACACAATATAAACGAATGACGTCGACAGCCCAACCATGCAACACACACACATAGCAGACCGCGTCAGTGCTACAAGCAAATCCGCCAGAATACAGATAAAGAACGGCAGTAGAATGACGCTCAGGTAGAACAGTTGAAAGAGCGGGCGATAGGTGTCGCTTCAACGCATGGTCTTTTTCGACACTGTGACGACTCACATAATGTTTCGGTCGAACCCCGCCCCCCCACAACACACAGCCCACCGCCCCCCCCCCCCTGCCCCCCCCCCCCCCCCCCCACCCCCCCCCACAAAATGAAGCATAGAACGAGTCACGAACGGCGCTTAACAGAGACAGCACGCACGCGCAAACTGGCAGGTTTTAAAGCAGAGGGCTACGCGCCCCACATACTTACGAAAGCTCACACCCTCCAGGTCTCAGATGGGACGAGCAAGCGGCCCGCTGGCCCCCAAATCGTTCTCTATTCTTGACCGGTCTGGCGCAGAGCATTCAGTTGACTGACGCCTCTCGATGAGTATCGTCACCGCACTTGCTATGTGTAACAAGTGAGCTTGGTAATGTATAACAAGTGACTTGGGTATGTATAACCAAGTGACTTGGTTATGTCTAGGACAAGTCGACTTGGGTATGTAGGTAACAAGTGAAGCTTGTATGTTAACAGAGTTGACTTGGTATGTATAAACAAGTGACTTTGGTATGCTATAACAAGTGACTTGGTATGGTATAACAAGTGACTTGGTATGTATAACAAGGTGACTTGGTAAGTATACAGCAAGTGCTTGGTATGTATAACAAGTGACTTGGTAATGTACTAACAGAGTGACTTGGTATGTATCATGTGAAAACGACAATGTGACAAAGTGACGAACGATGTGACAGACGTATCGTGTTGGTATGTGATAGCATGTGACTGGTGATCGTGCTCCATCAGCCAGCGATAATGTGTTTTATGGGTCTCATCTGTTAGCCAGCGGTGCAACTGGAACATCGTGTAACGAATAATGGCCAGTTCAGCGGAGATAATGACAGAATCCAGTGATCAAATCAAGGCTAGGCTAACGGCGGATGAGGGTCTTACGTGGCGCAGTACGGATTTCCATGGACAGTATTCATGTTGCCCACGTCGGTGTAAACAATGTGTTCTTGTGTGTTGCTACGATGGCTGAGGGATGCTACCGAACATGCGTCTAAACAGAGGAATTGCTCGCGAACCTGTGATTTGGAGGATAAAAATGACCCACCGCCCTCCCGCGCCGCATACGCCTATGGCTATGACTTTGTAAGGAACGATAGTACTAACTATGCAAATGGGAGCGAGAGAACTGATTAGTAGCATTTCTTGATAAATTCTAGGCTCTTATAGATACGACAGCATGTCTTAGCCTTAAGTCTCTGTGAATTTTGAGTCTATATGAAGCGGCGGATTAGTCCTCATTGATTAGCTAACTATGCACCGCGCGGCTATGACCAGGCTGAAGATGAAACGTCACGAAAATTTTGAATGTTTTTATCCTCCAAAAATGGGAAAGTGGGCGGGGTCGATTTTTATCCTCCAATCACAGGTCGGAGCAATTCCTCTGTTTAGACGCATGTGATGCTACCAGTTCATCTTTTTGACTCTTAGATGGCCTTGTTATCATTTTTTGTATGGGAGCTCCACGTTTTGCTGATCATGAGGTCCTGTATATCGTTTGTTGCTGAAGCTTTGCATTTGGTGCCATTTTAGTTGTATTGGAGAGGCATGAGATGTCTCCTAGCTCTTGAGGAGAGCTGCCAGAGACAGCTGCATGTATACATTGTGCAAGCAATTGCTCTACAGTCCTGTGGAGATGTTGAAGACGGTCCACACAGTCTCTCTCAGCGAGGTCCGGCAACTGGCATACGTACATTTTTCCTAAACTTCTCCTTCTTTAGCATGCTGTCTCCCCCATTGCCTTCACGTTCAGCAGATGTTGTATGGAGCATTGGTGGCTGGCTGTTCTGATGCTCGGTTCCTCTCTGCACCTGGTTTCCAATAAGCAAGGAATGTACAACACTGAATGTACAAGGAATGTACGCGCTTATGTCGGGCTTGCGAGCCGACTCGACTGGAAGCAACTGGCTGCAATTCACTGCGACTGCAGTGCTTAGGTCGGTCGACTGCGACGCGACTGCCTGCGACTGGCCACCGCTAGTTGCTCGGAATAGAACAGTGGGCAACTGGACGCAACTAGTCGCTGCCGATCGCTTCCAGTTGCTCGAAATCCAGTTGCTTCCAGTCGAGTCGGCTCGCAAGCCCGACATAAGCCCCTCTTTATGCATGTGTTTGCATTGCGATGCTGCATCTGGGTAGCTGCATTTATACATGTGGCGACTGCACAACCTCGTACAACATAGCTCTGTTCATCGCTCGTAGCAGAAGACTTCAATGCAAGAATCTTCTAAGCTTCTTGATGTTATAAAGGACCGCGCCCGGTCTAACTGGGATAGCGTACACTCCATTCAGTTGTGCTCCGAGCTTGCACGTTTATGTAGCGTGGAATATCGTATCGTAGACAGTAGAACGTAACAGTTGTATATAAACGGTGGTAACTTATAGATTTATTGTAAACACGGATAAAACAACACACATACCAGTCAGCTGTCCGTGGACGTCTCTCCCGTTCTACCCAAAACCCCTGGGTTTTGTCTGTCTTTTCGCCCCCCCCCCCTCGACCTGTCCTTGTTTAGGATCGAGGTCGTTGTACCCCTCGACCGGTCGTGAGCAGGGGCGGATCCAGAGGGTTTGGGTGACCAGTTTCCATAGTTCTAGTCTCAGCTAGTGGGGTCTGGGGGCATGCCCCCCCCCCCGGGAATTTAAAAAAAATTAGGCTATATTTGGTGCACTCTGGTGAATTTTGAGGGTCAATTCTGAAGATACCCAGCCTGTGACCGGTTTCTGGAAACCGGTGCAAACTGGCCTAAATCCGCGCCTGGTGAGAGCTGTTCGTGGTACCTCCCTTAATGACTATATCGGCCATGCCTTCTGTCAACGTTAATTTATATGCAGCTCTTAAGTAGGCAGTTAATGTCTGGTGGAGCCATTGCCTGCTGTCTCTAGACCGATTGTGTAGGTGGTGTGTCGAATTCCCCCCTCCCCCTTTCTGTTTAGCGTTTCCGCGTTACTACATTTGCATCAGGTATTGCGATACCTCGTGCGTGCCATGTGAGTGTAGTCGTGGGATGCTCCTGGGCGAACTCAGCATCTTTGCTGTGGTGCCAGTAGTCATCCTCCTCCATTTTAAGCAGAAGGTGTAGAAGGGCATCGATGCGCTTGTTCATTCATTTGCTGTTAGGCCAAAACAAAATATAGGTGTGGTTACCGTTTCATGCTGAAAAAAAATCGGGTAGGTAGGTAGGGAAAACATTTTATTTTATTGAAACATTTTATTTACGAACCATGTCCGAAGGATGTGC